AGAAACCCAAGATGACCTGAGATGCATACACCAGAAACCCACCAAGACCCACAGAAAGGTCCATAAAAGGTTGTTGAAGAGCCCAGGTAATGAGCCACAAATGCCTTTGCCACCAGAGATGCAATGGTGGCTGCCTTATGCTCTTCCATTATTACCTTTAAAACTCCCAGGAGAAACTATGGATCCTGACAATCCCAGCTAAGTTCCAAACTTTCGCTGTGGAGACCATCCAATGGCATTCCTGAAGACAGATCGTTGCCTCTTGTCCTGGAAAAGGAAACGGTGGCTCAACCCAAGGTTTTCCCAGAAACCTAACTTCGGGAGACCTGGAAGATCCTACATTTTGTGCAGGATGAATTGAATGGTCAGCAAACTTGCCAGGGACATCAAGTTTAAGTGAAGTGGAGTATAGGGGAGAGTCCATTTATTTACCATGCTCCAATGCAGGCGCAGGACCCTTTAAATCAATTTTCCACAACTCTCTGGGTTCCTAGAAACTTGTTCAGGATCCTCAGGTTCCCTCACTCAGAAGCTCAGAAAGGCCACACCTAATGAGGTAGAGGTAGTTGGACAAATGTTCTGCAGTCTGTTGAGAGGTTCTCTACTGTCAGAACCAACGTACAGGCAGCCCTGGAACCTTATAACTGAACACGTCCCCAATTGCTACCAGAGTGATCTGGTTCCAGTGTGGAGGCCTGTGTCCTCTGGCCCTGGATCTCTCCAGCTGTTTGCCTGTGTTCACTGAGTGGGATGCTGTTTATGAGGATAAGCACACAGAGCTATTTGTATTCTGAATTGTTTTATTGAAGTATCGATTCTCAGCTAGACTCTCTGTTGGCATATAGACTATGCTATGCATCAACAAGTTACCCTTGAGCCAAAGAGACATTGTTGTAATGAGTCCATGTTTGTATAGCTTTCATAAGCAGTTTTCTGCAGTGTATGCATGTTTTTGCCACCCTGACCCTGTTTTGCATCATTGTCTCTAACTTTGCACATGTTTAGTTAACTGCAAGTTGATAATTACTCCTTTCTACTCCTCTTAGCAAGCTACATACTGTACAAACACATGTGTCAAACACAAGGTCCGCGGGATGAATCCGGCCCTCTGGCCATTTCATGTGGCCCTTGCAAGTTTGCCCCCAGTTTCTTCTCGGTAGCAGCACAAGGTAAAGGGAGTGCACTGTGATGCAAGGGAGGGTGGGGTGCTCTGGACATCTGCTTATAACTATTATGAGAATAATACAATTCTATGCCAGTTGGGGGGGGATCACATACCGCTGGTATCATCCACAAGAAACTTTATTGGAGACTGCTCAGACAGAACACCATGGCAGAACCATACTCTGTCTGAGCGGTCTCCAGTAAAGTTTCTTTTGGATGATACTAGCCGTGTGAGACCCTGCCAGATGCTGGATGGTACACCCATGCTACAGCATGCGTTAACAATGCAATTCTGGATCCTTGCCCTAGACACTGGATGACCCTGTCAAAATACTGCATCTGCTATAGGAGTGTGAGATGGTTCCTTGCTGGTCTGCCCCCACCCTTCAGTAATAATTGAATGCAGAGGCAATTATTTATTATAATCAGGAGAAGATACAATTACATAGTCATACATATACAAATGGCACTTTGAGGGCAACCATAATGCTGATGTGGCCTGCAATAAAATTGAGCTTGACACCTCTGCTGTACAATGTGGTAGAACCTACCTGAAGAGTTCTAGTACCCCTTCCTCTCCCAGTCTTTCTGTGTTACCGGTCTTGAAAATAAAGGCATATTCGAGTACTTACCCTTGCTGTATTTAATCAGTAAATGTAATAATATTTTAGGACATGAATTAAATGGTAGTGCTTTATATCTGCAAGGAGTTGAACTTCAATAATTGCAGCAGAAGCTGGCTAGATTTATTATGAAAGTTTCCACAAATTGTCTGCTAAAAACTCCCCATGAGCAGAGTGCTTTTATTTTCCCTTAATAACTTCTTTATATAAAGATTAGTTTCTATAGCATCCTAACAATAACACATCCCTTTCAGATGTCACTGTTCTATTATATCTGCCTTTTATGGCTCTGTGTGTTAAAACCTATACACCCTGAGGGACTGGGAGGCATTGTACCCTGGATATGTAAACACTCAGTGTAACTTAGCGAGTCCTGAACATGTTACTTAACCTAAAGACGTCAGCCAGGGAACTTGCGCAGCTCCTACTTTGGTCTAAAACTGCATTTCACAGTCATTCTCAGATTGCCCGTGGCCTGTTTGAAATCTCCTGAGCTTTCATAACATTAAGCTGTTATTTATGGGTCTCAGCCCACCTGTGGGTTATTAAAAGGACACTAACAGAGAATGGACAAAGATGTTTAAAGTGAAACTCTACCTTTACAACTCAGGGAAAATAAATGTTCTATGTGCTCATACAGTTCTCAAGCTAAGACAACCCTCTGCAACATTACATATGTTACTCCCTTAAAGCATTTCTATGGTCAAAACGTAAAACCTTTTGAAGCACTTCCCCCTTGAGAGCCGCTGGATTTGGGTCCCCCTTATTTCCTATTCAGTCAAGCAACACACATTTTCCAACTTCCATTCAGAGTCAGTAACCAGGCCATGGGCTTGTTTTTGTAGTTTTATTTAGGGTTAAACAACTTGGATAGGGTTTAGGAATATATGGGATGCCCAACTCAACTTGACTTTAAACCATAACTCTGAGGACAAACTTTCTAAATTCTGTACAAAATGAAGAATCCTGGACTTTCTACTCCCTCAGGAGTGGGATCAGTTTTATGATGGATCAGTAATGCAGTCTCTGTAAGGAGCACTTGGTCCCCTCTAAGTGAATCTCTAAAAACCATCTAGAAACTGCCCATCCACCTGGTTGTCTTTGAAGAGTATCCCAGAGCAAGGGATTCTAGAACAGACTTGCAGTACTGTCCCAGAGAGAACTGGTGGGGTATGGTACCTAGCAGCCCTCTCTCTTGTAGGCCCCGGGGGTATAGACGTACTTATACTGTCCTTGCGTCCTGTAGCTTTGAATAAACTGCATTCAGGCTTTTCACTGGGCTAGTTTTCTTCCAGGCTAACAGGCTGTACTTCCTCAGTGGACTGCAGGGCAGTGGAGCTCACTCTGTCAACTTCCTTCTCCCATTCTTCCAACCTCCAGATTGAAGGCAACCTCCCCCCCCCCAGGGTCCCCTTCCAGGCTACACGGCAGCACACCTCAGCACTCCATCTTCCACCTGCCTCACCTGCTGGCCAGGCTCTCTCATATTTATGGGCTGATTAGACCATCTTGCTAGGCCTCCTACCCGGGGATTGGCCAGATTCCCATAAATATGCAGATCAGCACCTTCTGGCCTCCACCCACTAGCTTCTAGAAACTACTCCAAGCTTCTAGAGCCAGGAGGCCTGACCTCACACTGAACCTATTAACTCACACCCAGGCTTCTAAGAAGCCTCTAACTACACTACCAACTATGTACACCAGAGGGCACTACGCTTTCATTAATTTCTACATCGTATTTCAATCATTTCTAGCCTACTACTATTATTCTAAATGATTTATCCGTTTACATACGGATTTTTCCAAGCCTGTAGACTTTACCTTACACATTAGCCGTGTGTGGGGAACTGCGTCAACCGCTTTTGCAAAATCCAAGTATACCATGTCCCCCGCCACCCCTCTGTCCAAGTATACCACGTCCCCTGCCACCCCTCTGTCCAAGTATACCACGTCCCCCGCCACCCCTCTGTCCAAGCATACCACGTCCCCCCGCCACCCCTCTGTCCAAGTTTTTGGTCACCTCCTCATACAGAGAAATCAGATTTGTTTGACAACTTCTGTCTTTCATGAATCTATGCTGTCTGTTGCTTAAAATATTTTTTTTTCCAGCAAGAACTCATCTATGTGGTCTCTTATTAAACTCTCCAATATCTTCCCAACTATAGAAGTTAAACTAACAGGTCTATAATTACTTGGTAAAGATTTTGACCCCTTTTTAAATACTGGCACCACATTGGCCTTACGCCAATCCAGTGATACTATACCAGCCATTAAAGAGTCCAGGTGCTTTATTCACCTTTCGGCTCCATGCACACTGGGTGTTTTAACAAACGCTGGTAGCGTTAGCTGTGAAAAGTCGCTTTAAAAATATGCGTTTTTCAGCATTTTTTTAACCATGTTTGCATTAGCGTTTCGGTGCGTTTTTGTTAGCATTTTGTACACAAAAAAACCCAAAAAACCCCAACTTGCTCAAAAACACACCCAAAAATGCCATTTAGCTGTGTTTTACCACTTTTTTAGTGTTAGAACATTTTTACAGCTAAAAAACTCCTCTAGAAACCGACTAGTTCTGGATTTTGTTTCCAGCCTAACAACGCCCCTGCGAAAAAAAAACACTGATTAAAGCCTATGTGTGCATGGACACATGGGATAACATTCTGGGGAGTTTACTGGCTGTAAAACAAATGCCAAAAACAGCAGCTGTAAAAATGTCCAGTGTGCATGAGGACTTATTCTGTCTAAATATTTCTGGATCATATCAATTGTGAGCCAATGTGGATCATCTGGAGCTCTGTCAATACCATGCTCATTATGAACAAGAGCTCCCCCATGCTCCTTTGAATACACAGAGCTGAAGATGCTATTAAATAAATTTGCCTTCTCTTTGTCCCCAGTCACCCACTCTAGATTAATTTGTAAAGGGCCTACATGCTCGGACTGAACCTTTTTACTATTAATGTATCTGAAGAATTTTTGGAGGTTTGTCCTGCTATCTTTTGCAATCTGTCGTTCGTATTTAATTTTTGCGGCCTTGATATCCTTTTTACATATTCTGTTATATTGTTTGTAATGTTTAAACGATGATAGTGTTCCTTCATTTTTATATTTTATAAAAGCTCTTTCCTTATTATTTATAGCTTGTTTAACCATTTGCCGTCTGGCCGCTGTATATAAACGGCCGGACAGTGGCAGTCCAGGGGCATGTTGCCGTTCATAAACGGCGCCCACCATTTTGGACTGTGCGCGCTCTCTGGGAGCACGCAGCACATTGATTCGGTGCCCACTGTGGAACACCGATCGTCATACGGGACCTCTGTGCGAGGTCCCGATCATGTGATCATTGATTGGCTAATCAGTGATCACATGCAGAGTAGTAAGCAAGATGTCACTTCTGACATCATTGCTTACTACGTGTGAAATCTGTGAATGATCACAGAGGTCACATGGTACAAGGCTATTCACAACAGTCTTGTACCATGTGACAAGCTGTGACCAAACACAGCTCACACAGTATTTCTCAATGGCTGCAAGAATGCACCCAGAGAGAAGGAGAAATGATTGCTTTTATAGCCTTTATGCGTGTAAAAGCAATCAGTGTAAAAAAAAAAAAAAAAAAAATCTTCATAACCCCCCCACAAGTAGTACAGTGACACTGTACTGCTAGGGTGATAGTATGTAAAAAAAAACCATAAATAATAATATAAAAAATAAAATAAAAATGTAAAGAAGAAATTTAAAAAAATTATAATTTTTGGTTATAAACTAATTTGGGTTATTTTTTTTTTTTGCTAAAAAGATAACTGAATAAATTTTATAAGACAAACACTTTTTTTCAAAATTATTGGACCTTTTCATTTATATCACAAAAAAAATAAAAATCCCAGTGGTGAATAAATAGCTCCAAAATAAGCTTTATCTGTCTAAAAAAAATGCTAAAAAATTCATATGGGTACAGTGTTGCATGACCGCGCAATTGTCATTCAAAGTGTGATAGTGCTGAAAATTGGCCTGGACAGGAAGGGGGTAAAGATGTCCGGATTGAAGTGATTAACTTTGGCCGTAAACCACAAAGGTTTTATTTTTTGCCTTTGTTGCCCATGGTAATATATTTTGCAGTGTTTTCATATACAGTCTTTTTGAAGAACTCCCATGTCTGTGTTGTGTTCATAAATGCCAACATTCCCTCCCAGTCTAGGTCTTGGAGAGCAGCTCTCAGCTTTGAAAAATTAGCTCTCTTAAAGTTGAGTGTTTTTATTTTTCGTGCATGTGCTTGTTTGTTACAGCTAAAAATAAATGAAATCATGTTATGGTCACTGCTACCCAGATGTTCTTTTACATGGACATTAGTAATAAGCTCTGCATGGTTTGAGATAACCAGGTCCAGCAGAGCATCATTCCTAGTTGGGGCCTCTATGAACTGCGCCATAAAATTGTCCTGTAGTAAGTTTATACATTTGTGCCCTTTAACCTGCAGTGCCATTACTCCAGTTCATTTCTGGGTAGTTAAAATCCTCTATTATTATCACAGTCATAGCTCTTGCAGCCCTTTCGATCTGTGCAAGGAGCTGAGTCTCCACCTCCTCTTTAACACTGAGTGGCCTATAAAAAACTCCAACAATTACCTTTATAGTACACACACAAAGTGCCGACTGCTATTGCTGATGAGGCACTTGACTCCGTGCCACACATTACAAGGGAAGGCAGCTCATCACGAAAAGACTTACCAACTTCAGAATTGCCCCAGGGGCCTGTTGAGGAGCCATCTGCCAGAGCTTGAAGAGACCAGTTATCTGATAGCAGCTACTCAGTCTTCGTCATCTTCCATTTTGCCTAAAAACATGCCAGCAAGGATAAGGGAGGCTGTAGGAGGCACCAACATCAGAATACCAATATCAGAATTGTAGTCACTGTAACTTGGACACCTTCCTCCCCCCCTGGGGCTGTGCCTCCATACGCTCAGATTACCCGCTTCTCATGCCTGCAGAGGCACTCTGGGACTTTAAATACCAAAATGAAAACACTGAAGAAAAGTATCACCACCTTTATAAGGAGTTGAGCAACAGCTGCCATGAGTACATGGACTGGGTAGAGCTAGTAGGGCCGCCGATAGGGGGGTACCACCTGTCCTACTGTAGGGGGCCCTGGGAACACAGGGGGGGCCTGGACAGCAGGAAGAATTGGTGCAGTGGGGCAATTACAGAAGGATGCCCTCTGCGTGTAAGCAGGTTGAAATGCTGGTTAGTGAGATAGCTGCTACCTTAGCCGGGAGGGAAACAGTTAACCTGATTTCTCACACTTTTTGCTGAGCTGTGTCTCTCCCCCTGTGCTGTTAATAAAAGGGGGAAAGACTCTGCCTAGACAGACTTAGTATGCATGGGAAAAGATACAGCTTGTAATATCCAGCCTCATCATAGAGCTCCTGCAGCTGCCAAAGAGAGCCTCACATGCCTCTAGGAACCTTCCACATGTAGGAGAACTGCTGGGACCTGCAGTCCACCCTGATGACACCAGCTGCTGGAGAACTGCCATCATGGGCTATGCCAAGTATGGACTCTCTTTCTGTGCTGGTATGCTGGGGCAGCCACAAGTCTGAATTAGGGATTCATTTAGGGAAAGACTGTTACAGTCTGTAATGTTTAGATTATTCCAAGTAAAGCTTTTTTAAACTCTGTCCTTTGCCTGGTCTGAAATTACTAAAGGGGTATAATGCAAGTAACCGGCACACATAGCCCACAGCATGGGTCAGTAAAGCATGTTGGGGTATGAAGACAGTTCTTTAAGAGTTAACATGGTGTGGAGTATAAGCAAGTGGTTACTGAGAGTAACAGAGGTTTCTCAAGCAGTCTGTCATGAAGCAAGTACATATGGCAAGTGGAATAGCCTCTTGTAGGAGAAGTTGTTGCTCTCCATGAGCAAGTCCATCTCCCTTAGCAATAGGAGCAGATCAGTGCTACAGATGTCCTCAGCCTGTGCACAAGTATGGAAGAAGACGAGTTAAGTGAGTGCACGCATAGAGGCAGCACTAGATGCACAGCGGGACTCCATTCCATTACTGGATGTGAGATAGAGGAGTGTCACGGATCTGCCCACATGCCACGCCCACAGCGACTAGCTAACCGAGGCAAGCACGTGCGGCCGTGACAGGGGGTATGAAGGAATAAAGGGGACTTAACTTTGAATATATAAAACCGTATATAAGATCAGCCGTGATACACTTCCACAGCCCGCACTACCTTTTGGCCACCACCAGATGGAGACTCCACTGCAATCCAGCTGGTCGACCACACACTGGCAGATACAAATCTTCCATACAATCTGGTGCACTGATTAGAGTTGTGGGGTGTGCATGAATACTTTAAGCCCTGTGCATTAACCACTTCCCGCCCAGCCCATGTACATAAACTGCCAGACGGGAGCAGTGCCGAAGTGGGTTGCCATGGGAGTACGCGCCACCGCGATCCGGTGCCCGCTGTGTCCGGAGGACGCAGCAGAGCACCGATTGCTGTACGGGACCTCTGTGTGAGGTCCTGATCCTATGATCACTGATTAACCAATCAGTGATCACATGAATAGTAATAAGCAAGCTGTCACTTCTTGACATCATTGCTTACTATGCGTTAAATCTGTGAATGATCACAGAGGTCACATGGTACAAGGCTATTTACAACAGCCTTGTACCATGTGACAAGCTGTGACCAATCACAGCTCTCATAGTATTTCTCAATGGCTGCAAGAATGCAGCCAGAGAAAAGGAGAAATGATTGATTGATTTTTGATTTACTAAAAAGATAGCTAAATAAATTTTGGCCAAGATTTATGAAGAAAGATTAACTATTTGCAAAATTTTATAAGAGAAACACTTTATCAAAATTTTTAGACTTTTTAATTTATATAGCAAAAAAGAAAAAAAATCCCAGTGGTGAATAAATACTACCAAAATAAAGTTTTATCTGTCTCAAAAAAATTATAAAAAATTCATATGGGTACAGTATCGCATGACCGCGCAATTGTCACTCAAAGTGTGATAGCACTGAAAGCTGAAAATTGGCCTGGACAGGAAGGGATGAAAGTGTCCGGACTTGAAGTGGTTAACCATACTGTGTTGTTATGTAGTGAGTCCAAGCTGCCCCATGTGGGGCAAGGGTTAATGTGCTTCTAACCTTTCCCAGGTATTTTTGGGCCCTGCCCCCGTCTTCATGTAGGAGTCCTCATGTGTAGGGCGAGTTGACCCCACCCACATGCACGTTGCCCACTAGATGGAGGAGACCATCATTACTATACATTACATGTACACAGGTTGTACCAAACGCATTTACAAATTGACAGCTGAAAGAAGATGAGCTTTTAAGAGACAAAGTGTAATATCAACCTGATGTCTATGGTTTATGTACTTTAGGCTGCTATTGGGTACGGTACACTAATACAGTATTATCTCTATACTGTCTTCAGTGTAAAGTTTTTGTTTCTTTGAGCTGATTCATTTTTTCTATCTTTTGTAAACAATTTAAAAAACTTAATTGTAATTTTCTTTCAAGATAAAATCATTTGACCCATTGTCACGGGGCCCTTAAATGACATGGGGCCCATAGGCCTGAGCCTGCTCTGCCTATTCGGTAATCTGGCACTGTCTGTCTCAGTGACACCTTATTCACCAGAGGTAAAGGGAAAAAAAAAAGTTTTGCTGTTACATACACTTTACAGACTTTTCTTTTCAATGGACCAGTCATCGGGACAGGAAATCAAATCAAATTTCCAAATAAGAATGCACACAATATGGTAATAAAATGTAATAATGATGGCATTTAGTTTGTAGTCGAAGGCAACAAGCAGTTCTGCATTGTATGGGTTTTAGTACTTATTAAAGGTTGTTTAAATAGGAAGGGTGATAACACGAATGTTCCTGTTTAGACTAGTGACATCCTGAAGACTTATTGCAAAAGCCATTTTAATACACGTTTGTGTGCTACTAATGAAAAGGAACTTAGAAAAAATATTGGTGTGGTATTTACCTATTTTGCTTTTGTCACATGGGAAATCTTAATACTTTCAAAAAAATTTTTTTGCATTTAATTAATGCATTTTTTAGATTATTTTCAGTATATTTTCATTTTTTCCTTCAGTTTCTCTTATTCAAAGAGGAAGCTTCAGGTCTGTAAAAGCATAAAAATACAAGGTCCGCTCATGTTGTTGCTTTCCAATCCCTATGCTGCAATACTGGTGTGATGCTGCAGCTCTCCCATGTCAGCTCTAAGCCAGAGAACTGAGCAATCACATGACCACTGATCGCTCAGTTCCCGCTCTGCTCAGAGCGGTGAGCTGTCAGTAACCACTCTCTGCTCTGTTCCTCCAGTGCTCACAGTAGCGCCGTGCAGTGGAGGAGGAGGGTACAGCAGGCTTAGGCTCTCAGCTTTGCACTGAAAGACAGAGCCGACTTTCAATTAGTCAGCTGGGTGGATCCTGACAATATTGTAGGGATCCTTCCAGAGACTGGAGTGGCTCTGCCACATCAGCTAATAGTGGGCAATAGCCCACTATCAGCCGACTCTGGGTCACAGATGTTCAAA